GTGCTTATATCGTGAGTCTATTCATATTCATGTTCATATTCGTATAAGGGCACATTCATATTTTCATTCGTATTCATATAAATGCACATTCATATTCACATTCATATTCACATTTCTATTCATATCCATGTTTAAATTCATATTCAGTTTCATATCTATTTCAAATTCAAATTCTTCATATCTTCATACGTGTTTATATTCATGTTCATGTTCATATTCATATAAATGAACATTCATATTTAAATTCATATTCATACAAAACCACATTCATATTCACATCCATATTCAAATTCACGGAAATACACATTCATATTCACGTTCATATTCCCATTCATATTCATATGAACGCACATTCATATTTCTATTCATATCCATCTTTAAATTCGTACTCATTTTCATATCTATTTCACATTCAAATTCATATCTTCATTCGTGTTTATATTCATATCCATGTTCATATACATATAAACGCACATTCATATTCACATGCATATTCATATTCATACAAACGCACATTCATATTCACATTCATATTACCATTTATATTCATATAAACGCACATTCATATTCACGTTCATATTCATATCCATTTTTAAATTCATATTCAGTTTCATATCTATTTCGTATACAAGCTCATATTTATATTCGTATTTATATTCATATTCACATTCATATTCATATAATACCTCTCTGCTCAGACAATCAAGGCGTCGTTTAGGAGATTCTCTTCGCGGCCTTTAATCGTTCTTTCTACACTACGATGGCGTCTACCGTTAATTTGACCAAATTTTATTCAATCCCCTGGCTTGGGAACAAGCTTTTAACAAACATCTCAACATTTTTGAAATATGTCTCAAAATGTCTTCGAGAATACAGAAAAGATATTCTTTTGATCAATTAAGTATTTGAATTATTTAAAAGTTGGATGTCGCCAACTGTTTCTGAGCGAATAAAATTTTTTTAATACTACAGCTATCCATTCACTCTGTCATGACCGTTGGGAAGACTTTATTGTCATCAAAATTATACGTTCGCGGCTGAAGATAATGTCGGCAAAGTATGAGTTATCACTGCAAAAAGCACGTTGGTTTCCCTAAACATTCGAAGTGTTGCCCACCTTACCGAAGTTATTTAATATGGGCTAACTATGTGCCCCTATCTCCTCGTAGGCTTAAAATCTATAGATACTCAAAAAACATTTCAACTACGAAGTATAAAAGTTGCGAAGGTATCTTTTATTCTAATGTATAAACTTCGACAGTTTTTCGGGAAATTCTGTACTGGGCGCGTCTAAGAGGCGAATCGGCTACTAGACGCTTCACTGTAGACTTTTGTTGCATGTATTTTAATCAATCACAAAAAAAAAAACAGATCTTTGAAGATTTCTTCCCTCCTTTCTCTGATCAGAGACCGAAGGTATTTCCGCGTAAGTTAGCAAGATATACTTTTGCCTAATTAGTTTAATAACACATCACACGCGCACACAAATTCCTCCCCGTTTCAAAAAAAGAAAAAGAAAAGAAAATTGATAAATCAAAGCCTCAATCAATGTAATCCTGACATACGTTAGTAGTAATCTGCGTTTAAATAATTTACTTTAAAAAAAACCGCTGCATAATTGTTTGTTCTGTTTTAAACCCGACGTCTACCAGTTTCTGGCAACGTTTTTTAACGGAAGAGGTGGTATTATGCCTATTTTTGACAATTGCTTTCCAACCTTTTGCTTGTTGCCGAAGTTGTGCTAAAAACTTTCGAAGTTTTTGGATCTAACTATACCTGAGGTAGGATTGCATTTTACAGGGTTTACTTATTTGCTTTAAGCTTTAATCAATATTTCTACAAAAAACAAGTGAGAGTGCTTGAGTGGGGCAAAGCTGACAATTAGATACCCTACACTACCTCGTCCAATACATTCATTGACTCATTTGCTTAACAATACATCAAATATTATTTCCCATTTTCTATGTAAATATATAATTTTCATGAAAGCTCTCATATTGGAGGATATTCAAGATTTTACAGTAACTTCCGTTATAACTAACCACAAACCAGACTATGTCGGCATAGAAGGGCCTGCTGTCGTGAGAGCTCCTATATATAATGCTGTCTTAAAAAACAGACCTATATAATTCAAATCCCTTATGGTTAATTTACTAAGGACCAACTTCCATCATAAAATATTAAAGATTGGACCTTTTCGGCATATAAAGGGTTAGTTTTCATTAGAACGCACGAACGAAAAATAGACCTACGTGGTCAAAATTTGCTAAGAAGAACTTTCATCAAGACATATTGAAAATTAACCGCCTTTACAATAGAAAGATTCAGTTTCCTTAGAAAGGGTTATATAACAACGGGTTCAAAAAATTGCTCTTTCCGACGCAGAACTTTCACATTAAATTACGACGCTGAAATAGTATTACTAAGCGATTTTTATCGCGAAATTCCAAAAAGTTACTCTGTTTTTTTATATGAGAAGTGGTTGAAGAAATGATCCAATTCCATTCAATTTCAATGCCCTTCGTCTCGGAAACAACTCGGAAACTGTGATCTTTACGTTGAACACAATAATCGAAATTGATTAACATAATAAAAGGTAAGACTGTCTTAAGTCCTTCTGAGTGGTACCCAAACTTGATATATGTTCTACCGTAAAAATGGCGAAAAATATGGTAAAGGATGAGAATAGTAAAATGGATTATTTGCAACGCTTCTTCTGCCAAAATTGATCTCGACGGTAGGATTGTCTTTTGTAAGTTTGTTGTCATATGTAATATTTTGCGTACAAAAGTGTTCTGATGTCTATTATAAAAAATTTTGTCCAAAAATAACGTCGATGCCTTACGAAGAGGCTATGGTATTAAAGAGAAGCTTTCTTTGCTCTCTAAATTGACATCTACCGTGGGGTTGCATTTACCGACAAACGAAACTGAACTGAAAGCATTTCTGATATAGTCTCACCCTGTATTATATGTTTGCTTATTCAAGAGGCAAGAGACAAATTTAACCACTATAGTAAATTTCAACTTTAAACGTATGTGTATATACACGGATATATCTTTATATACATTGATATATTTATATGTATATATGTGTATAAATTTATTACATATATAAGTGTATATGTGCATTTACATTTACAATTACAAATGTATACTTGTGCATGCAGATGTAGTTTAGTTCAGTTGGTTCGTTTAAAATGATGAAATTTCTAAATCCAACGTATATAGTTTTGATGATGGTTTGGTTTCTTATTTGTATTTGAGGGAAAAAGGGCTTACGTACGTTTGCGTATAGTTGAATACATACATACATAGAAACATGGCTACGTTAAAAAAGCTATAGCACAAGGATATCCTTGAAGCACAGGGTTGCAATTGTGTAACTATCAGAGTAGAGTTAATGGGGAAATTTGAAACAAAATTCAAAAAATAACGACAACTTTAAAGAAATATTATCGATCTTTAGTAAATTCCTTGTAATGCAGTTTACAAATTATTTAATAGCTAACTAAAATATTCTTTTCTTTTTTTTTGTCTTGTAATGGTGCGGCTCTAATGCCACTGCATGCTTAAAATAAACCCGCTTTTGGCGAATTATGTGTAGTGTACGTATGTATATATCTAATCGTACATATATATATATATATATATATATACATACATGTATATATACATATTTCTATGACACATACAGTTTTGTCCGATTAATAATTTTTTGTTTTATTTAATTTTCTTTTTTTTCATATTTATTTTCTTTAATTTAATATTCTCTGGGTATAAGAAATTTTTGTGAGTTTTGTTAAGTTTTTTTTTTTTTTTTTTTTGCTATTTAATGAGTGATTGCGTATGAAGGCAGCCTAAGCATGATATATTTTTTCTTGCTTACGAAATTATTTAGCGTTTTTTTGCGTTGTTTCGATTTGTGGCTGGCAACACTGTTATTTAATTCGGCATTGACGGCATTCAATTACGTTATACACCCACCGGCGCCATCAATATTCTTCGCAAGTTATACACAATTTGAATTGTGTTTTATTTTATTTTCATTTTTATTTTTTTTGCTTTTGTTCTATAGAATTTTCTGCTTGAAAGTTCTTTATAAAAACCTCGAAGGCAACTCAACTCAATTTTATTCGATGAAAAATATAATTGTTAAGTTAGTGTGAATCATGGAATTTTTTGTTTGAAACAGGGATTTTTATTATTAAAATACGATTTCGAACGAATTCCAGTTTAAAAGATGACGAGATATGTAATGAAATAAGTTTTTTAAGAAAGCAGCTCGGCAAGGTTTCAAGCGATCACTTTTACTTAATGTTATTTCAAGCTTTTTTCATATATTGTTTACAAGTCTTCTTCCTGTGTTATGTATTTAAGCTTTAATTAAAGTAATAATAATAATAATGATGATGATAATTATAATAATAATAATAATAATAATAATAATAGAAAATATGTATAGAAACTAACACCGCTTCTATCTTAAATACTTGTCTAAGTGAAGTCAAGAGCACATGGAGAAATCTTAGTAAAGAAAAAAATTTGATTATTTATCAGTAAAGAGAGCCAAAGCAAAGACAGATAGCTAGGAACTCAAAATGAAACCAGCACAACACCAAGATAAATAAAATGTGAAATATTAAATGAGAGAAAGAAGGAAAATATAAAAACAAAAAAAAAAAAAATGAAAAAATGAAAAAATGAAAAACGAAGAACCAACAAATGTTAGTATTTTCCCGAGGACAGATAGATGAGATGGAACGAAGCGAGCTTACTAGCATTTAGAAACTTCATGCAAACATTAGAATTCGAAATTGCCAGCAACTCAACACGGTTGGTTATATTCCCATACCCACCCTTAATGCAAACATTGTTGTAACCATCCATATAGTCAGGCCAAGCTAGGCTGGCAGTACGTACGTACGTACGTATATACGTAGCTTAGATAAAACTGTTCGTAAACGGTCAACGCTAACCAAGTATCACAACTATACGTACCAAAGAGAATACACAGCAACAGCAAGAGTACAACGACAACAACAATCAGTCATCTAGCCAGTCGGTCTTTTAGTTTCGTCCGCCTATTTGTGCTTACGCCACTCGCCACTTAGCCAGCCAGTCAACCTTTTTCGATCGATGAAGTTTCTTTTTGTGCCGCAACGCTTTTAAAATTTGTTATAAACTATACAGCAAAAAAGCCAGAGAACCATGCGAACGGTGATTATATTTTATGAACAAAACACACCGAGTGAACCATCGTCGTCATCATCATCATCATTGCCATCGTCGTCATCAAGTAAAAATGGGAACAGCATATAGCAACGTATAGAATTCAGCATAACACGAAAAGGAAAAAAAAGAAAAACAAAAACAAAAAATTTTTTTTATTCTCTTTCGTTTTTATTTTGTAGCAGCACAGGCAGCAGCAACCTTCACAAGCGAATGTAATATTGTTGGCAACCTAGAAGAGGTACGAATTTAGTTATAGTTAGTGCTTGGTTTGTGCTCCACAATATGTTGTATGTTGTGTGTCGTTTGGCGGCGGTGCTCTTATAGTTTATTCTCGTATAGAGCGTTCGCTCGTATGCGCTTAGGTCGACGGTTCCATAATAAAATGTATGTTCATGGTGGAATGGTATTTCCTTTTAACATCAATACTAACGATGAACTAGTGTTCGTTTATATGTGTTTTGTACAAAAAATGGGGAATATTTTTTAGTTCGCACTCACACGCTTATGTGTGGTACTACTTTCGGTCTTCGTCTTGACATTTGCGTTTAGTTTAGCTGTTCTCGTAACAGGCATGTGTCTTTGCATACTTTTGTATTAGATACGGTGGGCCGAACGTATTAAATCCATATCCTGAATATTCTCTAATAAATGATGCAAAAGGCCTGCCTCTAGACACTGTTAACCGATTAAGAATAGGAAGTAAAATTAAGTTCATATCCAATCGATGAAAGCTGTTCTCGTGGCGGGTAAATAACTTTATGGATTCGTGAGGAGCTTGCATTAGTTTGAAATCTATAGAGAAGATTTTTACGAAGCCTCTATTCGACTTGGGCAACTTTAAGGAAGTGAATTGTTGAAATTTCTAATTTTTACAGAGAAATGAAGATTTATGCTCATAACTGTTCGTAACGTCTGTTCTCTGTTCAAAGTTCCTTTTTATATTCATCACCGAAGTATGAGGGGTATATTCGTTTTGTAAAACCGTTTTCAATGCCCAGACGGAAGCATCAGAGAACTCACAAAGCATATATATATTCTTGATCAGCATCAAATTCTACATCGATTGAAGCATGTCTGCCTGTCTGTGCAATGTCTGTTGTGAACATTCTCCTGACCGCAAAAATGAACCCATCGACTTCAATTTTTGCAGAAACATTGGAAGTTCTTGCACGCAAGCTGGTATTGAAAAAGGGGCCAAACCGGTCGAAGGACGCGCCCACAACACCACGTAAACTGAGAACGCCTCTGTTTCTAAAAGGAATGCAAATTTGGTTTTTTACTCTTTATTCACAAGCGATAGCAAATAAATGAACGCAAATTTGAACGCATATTTTGTAGCGTTTGTGCACAAAAATATAAAAAATTGACCACGCCTACCCAATATTATAGTGTATGAAAATTTAATTCTTTTGTCAATACCTTTATAACGCGCCAAAAAAACAAGTTTCAAAGCCCCTATAAATAACTATATATATAAATTTTTGGCCAGTTTCGAACGCACCTAAACATGTCCGCCTGTCCACCTGTCGGTTTGTAGTATTTGCGGTAAACATTCTCCCGGATTTCGCTTAAAAATTTGCAAAAGAGTTTGGAATTGACCTAAACTTTCTAAAGGATATGCTTACAACGCCCATATGCCTATACGACAAAACTTTTAGTTTGAAAATAGGAAAAATCAGCTTCAGCTTATTATAGAGAATGAAACTCTTGTTCATTTACTTCGTTTGTCTTTTTCAGGATAACGTTAATGGGTATGAAAGATTCGGCGATTCCCGAGCGAATTTAATTTTCTTACTTGTTATTATATTTCCAATTTTCTACACTAGACCTCAGCTATCTGTCAGTCCCGGGTCTCTGAACGACTTATTCCTTTATTTAAAGTGATCCAATTGAATTTGGAATTATAAAGCCATAGAAGGTATTGGCACTGGCTATTACAAAATGTTTGGAAATAAAGGACAAAAGATAAGTAAAGATAGTTTTTCCAGATGAAGAAGTCACAATTTTACCTAACATTTTAGTAACGAATATTATCGTTACTCTTTCTCTTCGCAAATCGTGAGAACTTACGTCATTTCCGCATAAATCTTGTTAGTACAATATTTCTTGTTGAGCTGGCATGCATCCAAAAAAAAAATTACCGCGACCTGTTCTATAGATCTCTAATTTTTCTAAGGTTTTCCAAAGCCACGGTCATTGGCTTATACGGCGGCCACCTTTTTTTTTAGTTCAAAACCAGCTAGGGAACCATTCTACCTTATGCTTTAGGATGTGTTCTAGAAAAAACAGTTATAACCAGCATGTTTTGCCTTTTCTTCGAGCTTCCTGCTTGACAAAATGATGTCGCGTGTCCATTATAATCGAAACATTGAATGGAAAGTGTACTTAACTGCTGAAATTGATTCTGTGATGAAGATTATTGTCTTCCATAATAATGGTTGAGGTTCAATGTTTGTGATTAGAGACCACTTCAAGCCTTATCACTTGATTCGTCAAGGCATTGAATTACTCCGATTTCCTTCTTTCGGCATACTTTACACATTTAGTAAAGTTTGGCGGGAAGTTATGCAGGTGGTCAACATGCTTCAACACTTGAACATTGTGCTCATTCATATTCAGTGGTTATATAAAACTGCGGCACCAACTGATCCGAAAGATTTTATTTTATCCATCCACCGAAATATTTATAAGAAGTACACCTTATCTAAACCTCGGCATTAAGTAAATTTTAATTTATCTACTAATGTTGGTGATGTACTGAAATAGCAAACATCAGTAAGTTGAAACGTAAATATCACGACATAACCTCAAAACAAGCAAATGAATATTGGATGATTTTATAAAAAAAATCCTGCGTCCCTCATACTTCAAAAGTTTCCTTGAAAATATGCCTAACGCTCGCCACTGAAGGAAGACGAGTCATTCTACTTGTAACACTTACAAATTCGTATCAGAAAAATTGTACATATACTCTTTAATCGTAGAAACCATGAATCGACCATTTTGCCTAATGTTTCGCAAGGGCTGCCCTGACCAACACAGCGTCTTATCTTTCGTCAAGCACGTTGTGGAAAATGTTAAAACGGTAGTGATCTTAACAGAGAACAGTTACGATCGAATACTACGAGAAAAATGTTCTCAACATAAACTTTTAAAGACGAAGGTTTCGAGTAATAACTAATTCACTTTTTCTTAATAGCCCCGAAACGGTTTTCAAAACTGAACCGTTTTAGATACAATTCTCTCAATTATACTTAAAGGTAGTTTCAGGTATAAAATTAAAGATTTTGCTTACTCTTTTTGTTTCTGCTGAATTGCTCGTAGCGTTCACTAAAACTTTCTCTGGCACGTAGTGTGCTAGACCGTGTGCACATGACCCCTGCTTTCTAAAAGTTCTTGTAAAACTTAAATTTCCCTCTTTTTTCCAATCCCGGTTTCAAAGAGGCTCATGACTCGAACTCGACGGGCTACCCCGTGGCCAAGTAACCAAGAGTTGGCTATAAGGCAGATCACTCGTCGATTCGTTAAATGGAAGCATCTATTTATCTGCCTCTAAAAGCTCGCAATATATAAGTTTAATTTGATAAGTCCACGCAAAGTAGAAAGCGCCCAAAGTGTGGTCTTAGACAAGGCTCTCAAAACTCTTTAAGCCTTTGAACTCAAGTTCGCAACCGTTTTCTAAGTGCTCTGATGTGCTCTAATGTGCTTTGACTTTCAAATATTTAATTGTTCTCTCTCTCTCTCTCTCTCTCTCTCTCTCTCTCTCTCTCTCTCACTCTCTCCCCCATCAAACGTCCGGCAATCAATGAGAAATTCGTTAAATCATTTCGTTAACTAGTATGAGTCATTTTGATGCAACTTAATACTCCCGGAAGACGGAAGAAGGTTGATTGGGTTAATAAAGTGTCGCCCCAGGTTGATACTCGTTCTTAGGGGGAAATTTGTGGTTTATACAAAAATTGGAATCTGAAAAGCGTTTGAATCAATAACGTTCAGGGATAAGACCGCTTCAATCCTTCAATTACGTTTGAGCAAGTTTTTAATAAAATGTTTTGAAAGGCCAAGGGTCTTGAACTATTTTTAAATTGTATTTTAGGGAAAATCTTACGATTCTTAAATGATTGGTTCTGTTTATATATATGTATGACTCCTAGTGCATCTGTTACTTTGAGCAATATCTTGAGCTTATTGAATTTTAGATCATGGGAAGACACGACGAAAGAGATGAATTTGAAATTTAATTACCATCCGTTCCGGATCAGTAAGATTTAGGACGGGAAATATTGCATAATCTTAAATAAGCTCAGGTGGATTTTCGTTAATTGCACAACACTATTTCAATAGGTCTTTGTTAATGCCAACTGTTAGTAGATCGATTGGAGCAGAATTATTCGATATTGATGACTAAAGCGCGAGAAAATCTTTACATTGAAGTTTTCTTATACCTTATGATGAAGACACATTAAACTTTTTTTATTAATGTATTTTACTCTATTCTAAAGTTGCGCTCATTTTCACCGAGTTTAAGAAGCGATCCCAGTCTTTTACATCTCTAACTTGAGTAGCTTCGTTATGCGTACTTGCACCAAGTACGCCCATTTCTTAATTCAAAGTTCATATAATAAATAGGAAAGTGTTAGGTGAACATCAATCAAGCAATCGCGCGCCTTACAATCATAAAAAATATTTTACGAGATCTTTCCAATGCGCAAACTTTTGAATTAACTGATTGACTTCACATCTGTGACATTTAGGCTCTTAGTAATGTTTCAAGCAAAAGCGTATTTTTAGAAAATGGTTTTTGCTGGAAATCTTATTACCGTACGCCCACTGTAAGTACTTAAGCGAGCTTTCGTTTTATTCTGATTACTATAAAAACGAAAAGGAAAGAAAAAAAAAAAACGAAAGAAGATAAAAAAAGGAAAAAAAAAAACAAATGAAAACAGACGAAGAAAAAAATTCCAACTTTAATGCTCGTTTATACAATGCGCTCCTCCATGAGTTGTTTGCTTGCTTACTGCCTGATGCGACGACGTTCTATTTGGGACCGGGGTCGGGGTCGTCTGACGTACCAGTGAATGGATAAACACTTGGCTGGTTGGTTTATGTGTACGTATATATTTTTGTATGTGTGTAAGTCATTGTATAACCTACGTTGGATTGCTATGTAAGTATGCACTGGTGTGTATATATGTTTATATAAGAGTGTGCTGTTTGGTTGCTTCTCGTTTATTTTTAACGTTCTTTATATTTTATTCGGTCGTACCATGTCGACGTTCTGTTGTAGCGCTCAGTATTTTGCTTTTATTATAAGTTTTTCTTTTCTTTTTGCTGGCTTATGTTATTTCCAGAGTATCTGTATATATGCTTGCGTGTGTTTTTTTATTTTGTATTTTTTTTTTGTTTTTTTGTTTTTTTTTTTTTTTTTGTTTAAGTTCACTTTAGTTTAGCTCAAGTTGGCTCGGTGCGGTTCGTTGTACATTCGTTTCAATTTCTGTGCGAGTATGTATGTGCATGTGCATGTGTGTATGTAGATGGGCTTGTGTATGAATGTATATTTATTATACTGTGCGCTGTATGTTGACGTTATACTCTCAACCATTGCATGCTTTAGCTTCGTCTCCGCGCGTTTCGAGGCCGTTCACCGCCCTCCCTTATCTAGCTTGGTTATAATAATAATTGCTTGAATGCTTGCCTGCCTGACTGCTTGGTTGGTTGGTTGGTCGGTTGGTTGCTTGCTTGCTTGCTTGCTTGCTTGCTATCTAGCTAGCTAGCTAGCTAGCTTTACTTACTTGCTTGCCAGAGTACCGAGTTTCTTGTTTTCTTTCGACGTTGGCTGTCGTAATTTTTGTTGATTTTTTTTTCATTTTCCATTTTTTTATTTTATTTTATTTTAATCTTCTTTTTTTTTCTTTTTTGTGCTCTCACAACGCCATACTATACTCGTGCATTTATCCATACGTTCATATAGTGTTTTTTTTTTTTTTTTTTTACGTTGTGTACTGTGCTTGTTTGTAGATATATATGTATTTTTTTTTTTTTTTTACTTTTTTTTTATACATGTTGGTTATTTTTTCTACTTCTTGTGTTCGTTCGAGTTTAGGTTTCGAAATATTCGCTTTAATGTGAACACTCAGCAGAGTTTTTAGTTATTTTTAGGTCTTGAAAATTTTGTATGTTGAAATAAAATATGGGTGGGTTTATTGTTGTTGTTGCTGGTGTTGTTGGTACTGTTGTCACTGCTCTTGTTGTCAGTGGCTAAGTACTGCATTGAATTAACTCAAGTTTTTGTAGGATTAACGGAACTATTTTTAAAAATTTGAAATTTTTAAGGAAAAAAATAAGTAGAAAATCGAATCAATAAAATTTTTTTTTTCAATTTAACGCTTTTTCAGGGATTAAATGTTGCTACAACAAACAAAAAAAAAAAAGTTTACGGAAAGCAACAGTTAGTCTTCGAAACTTATAATATTTTTCAAATATATATATAAATATAGCAAAGCTATAGCAAATTTTATCTTATCCGATATCTAGCTTATGCAATTGTTTGTAAAGAAATTTTTGCGTATCCAATAATAACACCCAAAGGCCTTCATTTGTAAGATTTACTGTAAAGAAGCGAAACAACTTAAGTTAAGTTATTTGGAATGGAACGTCCTCGAAACATATGTATGTATACTCATGCACAGTCTTACTCATACACTAGAAGTACAGCGCACACAAGCCATTAACATTTTATAATTACAGTGCAGTCTATACAATAAGTACATAATAAGAGAAAATTAAAATAATATTTCTCAAGACTCATACGAGTTTTATTAATATTTGAAATATTATTACATCTAATGAAATAAATTTCTTCTCTTTTATAGGAAATCATTTCAAATCATTTTTAGTAAACAGTATCACTCATGATCTTCGCTTATTCGGTGTTCGCAAAAGTGCTTAGTTTCTGAGCGAACAGCTTGGAGTAAAATAATATAAACTTATTTTTTTGGATTTCGCTTAGGGATTTAAATTTTAAGGCAGACTCAAAGATGTACCAGGAATGCTATCGTAAAATTTATTTAATTAGCATTGTTAAAAATAACTAACTCGACGACCTCCTTGTTTTTATTGTTATTATTAATATTTAAATTTAAATCTGTATAAGTCACATTTTAGCAATGTCGGGTAGTTGGTCATGCTGGACCCAACTATTCATACAAGTTACGAATAGAAGTTTTTTGAGGAAACAATTCACGTTCAGAGATGACAATATTTCATTTAGGAGGGCATATCACTGTAAATTGCTCAGATATGGCGTGACAACATTTTAAATAGTTCAAAAATTTGCATAGATCTATAACAATGTACGCCAGTTTGTAAATAGTACGCGAAACGTAATTCCAATTCTTCCGAATTCCGCCTTATGTTTATAACAAGAAAACAGTGAAATAGATGGGCGATGTAAGCATTATTTAAAGGGTCGCCTTTTTTGATCGAAAATTAAACGGTTTCATTCAAATCCTCTCTCATTAAACGAAATCAATTTTTTTTTTAAAACTCCTACTGGCTGCTGCTTGACTGGCTGCGAACACGTTTAATATTATGTTCAAAAATTAAGATCAATTTAATTTTATGCTTTTTCAAATCTATTTATTACTCCAAATCTATTTCAAAGTAATTCCATTTAGATGCTACACACTTATGTCAGCGTTTTTTTCAATCCTTGAAACATTTGTTACAAAGCCGTCAAAACTTTCTGCGATTCAGCTTGTATCTCTTGGATCGAATTAAACCGTTACACCCGCATTACTTTTTGAACACAGCACTGTATCTTCTCTGGGAAGAGCTTTCGACAGTGTTCGTAATTTATATATATATAGGAATACCGGAAATTTTCCATTTTCCGCAAAAGTTTCTAATGTTGCAGATCTGTACGAATCTCCTTCGGTTTGAATTAAAAGTTCGTAAAAGTTGTGCAGCCTAGCGAAAGGGAACTTCGTTTTTCCACTGCCAACTTCTTATAAGTGAAAATATTGATTTGTTTGTTCCAAGTTTCTCCCTTTCAAGGTCATTTCGTTTTATACTAGAAATAGCTAAAAGACGATAGTTATCCGCTTAGTCTAATGGTTTGCAAAATGAGAATAAAACATGTATTGACGAATGAAGAGTATAGGATGTTAAGCTATTAACGAGACGCCTGAGGCCCTCATCTATTATGTATATAAGTTATCGATTCTTTAAATTCGACTTTTAACAAAACGGATTTTCTGCTTTTACAACCAACAGATCTACAAGCAAGAACTGCTTTATGGTCAAAGTTGGTATCAGATGTTTAATAAAATCTATCCTTTCGACCAGTTTATGTCAAAAAGATCTAACTGACATGTACGATAGAAGCCCTCATCGCATCTGTTAAAAACAAATGTGTTCCAATGACATTTCCAGCAGTATTTGCATTCCATACAATCAACTTTCGTGAGTGTAATTGTGCCTAATAAAAAAGAAGCAGATTTGCTGTTCCACTTAGTTAGTAGTAACTAAAAAACTCGTCCACGCCGTACGACGTGCTTAGTCAAGTTCAAGTCCTTATGGAAAACAAGTTGTAGATCGATGCGCACTCGTGGACAGTTCTTGAGAATAAGAAGGGGTTAATACGAAAGGTTTCGTGTTATGTCCAAATAGGTTTAATTGAATTTTAACGTAGGCTACGGAAACTGCTAAACCGTAAGTAAAAAATTTGAATATTTATTTGGAGGTTTTCCTGCATTATGATTATATGATGAAGGATTTTCAGGGAAAAAATGAAAACTTAAAGGATTTGATTTAAAAAAAATAAAAGAATGGCCTCAACCATGTAGGTAAAATAGTTTAAAAAAATATTAAAGATCAGAAGAATCTTACCTTATGGCGAACAGGTTGTGCCCATAATCTCAAACTTAGGCATAGTATTTTCGGAGCGCTGGAGCGGTCGCGTTAATTGAGCGACCGCAGGCAATGTCGATTTTTTTACGAGGTAGTTCGTATCAAATACAATCTTAAGCTCATTGCGAACCTTTTCGTTGGCTAAACAAACCCAACTCTATAGTGACATTTTCTTGGGGCCCTGGTAGCTGTTCGTGTCAAACTTTTAGGTTAATAGCTGCCTTGGGCTGTGAGATGCAAATTTTTCGTTATTGCGGTCCTATTGTAGAAAAATGGTGGTTCAATCAGGAGCCAGAAAGATTCATAATTCTATCCTTTTAATTTAATTAAGTGCCAGCGTCTCAAAAATAAAGCGCAGACAGACGGACAAACCGACATGACCACGCCAAATAATGTAATCTATGGAGTAACCAATGCGAAGTATCAGCTATTGCAAACAGCGGAAAGAACCCGTTGGTCGGTATAGCTGAAAGGACCACGTTTAGATGCTTCGCTTCCTCTGTACTGTTGGGGCCACACGCATATGTGCAGAAAAATTTGTACGCATAGCAAAGATAAACAGTGTGTGAGGTGCACGCAATTGTTAATAAACCGTCCCTAAGTTTCTGGGCATCACTTTTTTGGTGACAATATTACCCATGGATAGAATTTCCAAGTGGCATTGCATTAGGGAAATTTATTAAATGTCTCAATTTGTGGAATCGCACTGTTAAAAATGCTGAACGAACTACTTACCACGACTGGCATCAAGGGACGTACCATCCATCTATCTATCTAAGCAAGAGTAACAACTGCGCACACTACTACACAAATAGTAATAATATCATCTATACGCACACAAATGCACACACAACGCCTGAGAAATACAACAAACATCGATATAATATAACGATGTTTGTGTGATATATATACAAATGTGTGTATCCGTACGTATGTCCGTACGCTTGGCAGCCTGTTTACTTGGCTGACTGGCTGTTTGGTTGGTTGGTTGGTTGGTAGCTCAACTTGGTCATATGTAGTGTGTGCATGTATAACATTTGGGACGACGTTGCTTGTTTTCTTGAGTACATGTTGGTAGAAGCGAAATGTTTTTACTGCTTGGTTGTTAACGTACGTTTATAATCGTAATACACAATTTACAAACATACATATATTCATATACACACACAAACATATTTAGCCAAGACTCTCGTATAAGCTATATATATATGTATATAAGACAAACACGCTTACATACTTTACTAAGTTATACATACATTCATACAAACGTATGCATTCACACATACGTTGATGCATAAATATGAAAAGATATCTGGTAAAAGACACAAATAAAATTACTTTAAGACTTGAAATGTTGTTCTCGAACTTAATTCAACCTATCACACAAGCACATATATATAATACATATATACAATACATATAAACATGGATATATATATATATATATATGCATATGTTCATGATTATATACTATACACTTAAGATATATGTATGTGGAAAAATACAAATAAACTGATTTGCTGTTGCTGCTCTTACCTACCATTGCTGTTGCCGCCGCTGCTGTAATACTTATGCATAATGAAAATTTTATTTTATGTCTACTATGACTATGACTAAAGTATCTCATAGATATCATACCACCTAGAGTCACTATTCCATTCTATTCGATTAGCGCTGGATTTGTTGCGCTAATAAACAAGTAGAAGTAATAGAAGTTGAAGTCGCAAAGACTTCTGTCATTGCTCGATTCCATTCTATTTTGATCGTACAATATACGCGCACTTAAAAATTGTTCTCTTCCTGTTTACGGGATCATTCATCCTGTCAGTGTACGTATGCGTGCGCACATACAATCATTTGGTATTTTACATCTACATGTTGAGCTCATTCATAAGAATGATCGCAATTTCCATTTACTAAGTTGTCGAGCCACGATAG